GCCATGCCGATTCGCTTAAGGAGGGATTCTCTTAGGAGAATTCTCTTATGAAAATTCTCTTTAAAAAAGAATTGTGAGGATGTCTCAGGCGAAACCAACGGTTCTCTTAAGAGTATTCTCTTAAGTGAACTCTCCTAAGATAATTCTCTCCTGCTGTGCTTGCAGCGGGGTCCAAACCGGGGTCAACCCCCCAGGAACACTTGTTGAGGGGCAGGTGCTCATTTCTGAAAGGGGGCGGGGCGCGACGCAGCCATGGCGGGCTCCTTGCTGAGGGGGGGGGGGGGTCCACCCTTGCGAGAACGAGCGTGAGGGGATTGATTCCCTTTTGAGGGAACGCGCTACCCCTTTGTGGGGGAATCCGCACCGCCGTGAGCGATGAAACGGCCTCTCTGGGAGGGGAAGGAGACGACCGCGAGGGTGCCGAACCCCTTGAGGGGGAGAGAAGCGAACCCCTCTTTGAGGGGGCGCCTCGGCGACGCCGGCGACGGCGACGATGAACCTGCAATTCATTCGCAGCTGCTGAGGCTGCAAGGCAATCGGGCTTTCCGAAGCTATTGTGGGTGCAAGTGCTGGGTGCGTTTGCGCTCGCGGCAGCCATGGGCGGCCCTGCCGGCGTCGCTCCTCTGCTCCTGATGGGCGCCCTCATCGCGCCGTTGTGCAGCACGGCCCCGAAGAAGAAGACCGACGACAAGCCAGGCCCCGCAGCGGCAAAGAAATCGAAGGCTGCTCCGAAGGGCAGCGGGCTCGACAAGGTCGAGGCCGACAAAATGAAGTCGCGGCTCCGCTACCAGTCCGAGAGGAAGGGCGCCGACGGCAAACCTGCGTCCACTGCAGAGTCAGCCCAGACAGCGCAGGCCATGTGGAACGGGATGAAAGACCCAAGCGATCGGAAGCGCTTCTTGCAGAGCTTCGCAAGTGACAAGGAGAAGACGCTAGATTGGACGGCCACCTTCGACGAGCATTGCGCGAACGAGGAGGTGCACGCCCGCTCTGGCAAGAGGGGGTACCAGAACGCATCGCAGGCGCTGGCTCTGAAGAACCTCAGCATCCGAGATTTTGAAAGCATCGAGGAGGCCATGGCCTTCGCGCAGGACTGGCGGGGCGGGTGGTGGGGGGGTGAGGGGTGGGGGGGGAATGGCGCTGAGCATGGCGCCGGAGAAGAATATCCTGTAATGGAACATGACAAGAAAAGGCCTCTTTGGAAGCAATGGTACTTCGTGGTGCGCAACATGGGCGATGACAAGCTCGCGACCAAGGGTTCGCGCACCTTCGAGGGATCAGCCAACATGGAGAACATGAAGCAGCTCGAAGCAGCGGGCTCCAGGATGGCTCAGCTTCCTTCGTCCAGCTCTGCTGGGCCAGCGGAGGGGGAGGTGGAGCTCGAGAACCCGCACTGGCCACATATCGTCGGCAAGATGGGCGAGATCGCGCGCGGCCCTCGGCAGCCGTTCCCTCGGCACTTACCCCTCTTCTGTTCCTCCAGACCCCTCACTGATAGGGAGTGGTTTCCTCCGTCTCGCATGATGCCCCATCCTGGAGGGGGCCGCCCGTTTTTTCATCAATGCGGATGCTGTCGTTTGCCCCCTGGTGAGGTCGACGCTCCTCAAGTATCAGAAGCAGCTGAAGGAGCTGAAACGCACGAAGAACCAGTTGCTCGCGAAGGCTGTAGATCAGGATCAAGCGGGCCGCACTCAGTTCCAGAACTGGGCGGCTGAATGCAAGAAGTGCGTGGAGAATGCGGGTGGCCACGAGACGAACATGGAAATCCTCATTACCAAAATTGGCTACGTTTCTCCCGTCGGCAAGGATGCGGAGATGTGCGTGAAGCTGAAGGGCGAGGCCGTTGCCGCCCACAGCACGATGGAGCACATGTGCGAGGGAATTCAGCTGCCGCCCAGGCGCTTCAAAAAGTTCCTCAACGGATCTGTGGGCCTCGATAAATATCCATCGTTACTTCCATATGTAGGGTGGGAAGCATTGCCTCGCCCGACACAGCTATTGCGTTCATTGCAGCCTGTGCGTCGACACGTGCAAAAACATGACGCACCACTATTCTTTCTCGCAGAGGCCCCCCTCGTGGGGGGCCGCGCGTTTCTCTGCCTGCCCCGGCTCGAAAAAATCCCCTCGCCGCAGGGGGGGGGGGGGGGGGGGGGGGGGGGGGGGTGCAGGAGGGCGGGGGAGGAGAGCAGAGGAGAGCGAATGGAGGCATTGCAAGGGAGGATAGGGCAGGTTCTGGACAGACGGCGTTTGCGGGCGGAGGGCGGGGTGGAAGGGGGGGCGGGAGGTCACGCGGATGAGGAGGCGGAGCCACGGGATTGAAGGATCCCCATCCAGGAGGGGCGCGGCGCAGAGGGATGGTCATCCGTTCGCTTCCGTAGTATTGGCTCAAGGCGTATCCGTAGTCGCACTCGCCTCCCGCGGGGGGCTCGAGGGCCGTCGGCATGCTTTCCAAGCGTAAATTGCCCCACGAAAGGCTGCAGCTGCCACCGCAGAGGCGGCCGTGAGCGAACGTGGAGGACCTGATCAGCAGCAACGTGATCAGCGGGCAGCGCGGTGCACAGTTGATCAATGACGCCGTCTCTGCGTCTGCGACAGGCGCTGCCGACCTGCAGACCTCTGAGACCACGTCGGGCATGAAAAACGCAGCCAGGAAATTCAGGCGCCAATTCTTCAAGAAGGGGTGGCCTCCGCTGCATCGCTGCAAGGTGAGGGGCTGGGGCCCCAAGTCTGAAGCAGAGCAGCTGATGGATGTTGCGATGCTGCTTCCACACGAGATCCTGTCTAATCTGCATCATTTTGGCGATCGGAGGGTGCTTCTGGAGACATCGAATCTCGACGGCGTGTCTTCGCGCAACGTGCAGGATGCGAGAGTTGAGAGCGGTTGCGACGATAGTCCCCTGCTCCTGGGACCGATCAGTGAGCGCAGAAATCATCGGCATCATGCTGCCCGGGGCTGCAGCCAGCTGGAAAAAACACGCGGGCGCCGCTCGCTGCGTTCCTCAAAGAACATGTTGGCCCCAACACATTTGATGATATCTCTGCTGTGGTGCAATGGATCTTCATTTATTTTGCTGTGAAGCGCTGGCCGACGGCGCGGCGCGACGGGCTCCCTTTTGTCGACGCGACACACGCCTGGAGGAAGCGGCAGCGTCAAATTACCTGGCTGGCAGGACGAGGAGGTTTGCTTCCTGTGCAGCGTCGAGAAGTTCGAGGCCCGTGGGCGCCCAAATCATCACGGAAACTCATGGATCAATATCCCCTCTTGGAGGGGGGCTCACGGATGAAAACCCCCCATCGGGAAGGGGATTTATGGATGAAAACACCCATCTCGGAAGGGGATCGTCGTCTTGCGGCCCCTGCCACAGGCAGGGAGAAGGGCGGGGAAGGGAAGAGGAAGGAAGGAGGAGGGAGGGGGGCGGGAGGGGGAGGGGCAGGAGGAGAAGGAGGAAGAGGAGCAGGAGGAGGAGAAAGGGGAGAAGGAGGAGCACCTGGGGGAGCAGGGGGAGCAGGAGGAGGAGGAGGATAATGAGGTAGAGGAAGAGGAGACGCTACCGCTTTCAGAAGCCCGCATTCAGGTGAAGTCGCATACTGGGATAGGCGCGCCGTGGAGAACGCATCGCCGCACGTGGTCGGGCATCATTGGGAAGATCATCGCTTCGGGCGCGACTGTGCGCCCTCTCTGCCAAGTGCCGCTTGCAAGCGAAAAGTTGCCAAAGTTAGACTGGCTGCACGTCGTTGACCTTGGAGTGGCGGCTGACTTCGTCGGCGCTTTGGTCTGGTACCTCGTAACGCACAGAAGGGTTGCTGGCGCTACCCAGAAAGCCCGCGTGCTGACGGTGCATCGTCATTTGATGGCGTTCTACGACAGGCAACCGCAAGGTGAGAATGCCAGCCGCTTGCCGAAGCTGACGCGTGGCGTCGTGAAGGGGAAGAAGGCGAAGACGGCTAAGATGAGGTGCGGCGCGGGGATGCTCAGGCACATGGTTCCATGGGCGATGGAGATCGCGGATGCATTCCTTGATCGTCGGAATGGCGCCGACCAGCGGGCAGCTGTAGAATCGTCTGTTCACGCTGCGATGACAAGCTTGAGTCGGTCTTACGACGTGCTGTCTGACAACCACCCGTTTGCTGTGGACATTCTTCGTGAGCGTTCAACGAAATTTGCCACGCAGGTGGCCGCTTTGGAAGACGCGCTCCCAGCGCATTTCGAAGTCAAGCCTAAAATGCACATGTGTCTGGAGCTCTGCATGGAAGGCGGCGAGCCAGCGAAACACTGAAACTACAGGGACGAGGACTTCGGTGGATCTGTAGCTGCATTTGGCCGAGGGAGGGGTCATAATAGATCCATGAGGGCTTTCTCGTTGGCGTGCATCGCGAAGTTCTGTGGCCAACCAATTGCGCGCATGCTCTGAAAAGGAACGCCTGAACATCATCATAATCATCATGTACGAGGCCCCGCCCAGTGGGGCTTTGAGACCCCTCCCATGTTATGCATGTTTAACGCGAAAGCTCGGGTCGACTAATTTTTTGGCCTGCGTATTATTACTCGACCCGCAGGAAAAATGTTAACCGTCTAATAACTCGACCCAGCGTAATTAAGCAACCTTGGAGTCTCAAGGGCCCGGGCGCTGGCTCGGGCGTGCAGCCCGGGCGCCGGCGGAAATGATGCCAGCGCTGCAGCGGGAGCACGATTCGGAACGAGCGGGGCCCGAAAATGCGGCCGCCGCCTCAGCGAGAGCAGCATTTTGGAAACAAATGCAGGCGAAAACCCAACTCCGGGGAAACCTGTGTAAAAAACCAGTACGCGAGGGGGAGGCGAATATTCCCAAGACGTCATCAGGGGAAGAGGGAGAGTAGTATTCATATTGAGTAATTGTGGAGGCGGGGAAAGGAGGAAGGACGAGGCAGGGAGGGGGGAAAGGAGGAGGCAAGGAGGGCAGGGAGGCAGGGAGGGGGGGGGGCGCCCGCGCCGCGCCACTGCGGTGGGGGCGTCGCGCCGCCTCTGCAGGTCGGTCCTCAGGTGCCTGATGCCCGCGATGGAGGGGTTGCCTCGGAGAGGCCCGCGCGATCCCCACGCCCTGGCCGGCGCTGGGGCGCCAGCGCGCGCGCGCCGCCATACCCTCCGATCGGGGAAGAGGAGGACGCGGGATGGGGGCGAGGAGGGCGACGTGATGATGGTGGTGATGGCGGCAGTGATGGTGATGATGGTGATGGCGGTTATGGTGGTGATGCTGATGGTGAAGATCGTGATGACGATTAGGACAGTTGTGATGAACAT